ATATTTCGTCCCTCTTCTTTTTTTTTTCTTTTAGGAATCCAAAAATAAATTCTAAAAAAGAAAATCAAAAAAATTAAATTCTTGAAAAAATTAGTTTCGAATCACGAAAAATCGTGAGAATTTCGAACGTCCCCCCGATTTGTATAAACGTCTTTCTTCTTCCTGTCTTCGAAATCCATAAAATTGATCCGTCGTGGAAGAATTACGGATTAATGAAACGCGAGCATTCGCGTGACTGATAACGCTTTGCCTCGTGATAAAGTTAACCGGGGACAGAGTCGGATACGTTGACGCGTTTCTCCTCTCGCCGCGATAACATTGATTCGAATATCCTGTTCGTTGCGCCGATTAATATCTCGCCCCTTATTCGGGGCACGCGTTGAATTTTCTACGCCGACGAGGCGTGCGCTTGTTCCCTTTGAAGGGAACGACCGACTTTGACTACGACTTCCTCTGCATTGTGTGTATTTACGCGATCGTCTCGCAACTTTGACGTGCCCCCTTTGTAATCTGCGGCAAAGGAAGAATGGAAGAAGACGTCATCGATCAGCCCTTTCTAATTATCAACAATCTTGCACGAGATTAACGCGACACCATCGACGTGACATTTTCTTATTAAATTAAAATTACCAGCAATTTAAGCGATTGAAATTTTCCACTTGTTGAATTATTGGTGCAAAGAAATTAGGTGTATTCTTTGTAAAATTGTAATTTTTTTTTTTTTATATCGATATCTATTGATAAATTAATATCTCGAATGATAATAATAATAAAATTGTTGGAGAATATTATGTAAAATTATAGTCAGTTCATTAATATAATTGTATTACTGATTTATAAATTATTTGCGATGCTTGATGAGTTTACGAAGAATTTCGAGATCGACGATTTTATTCAACAGTTTTGCAGCCTTGATTTTTGAATATTTTAAATTATAGAGGAAAAATTTAAATATTAGATTGTTCAATAATTTCATATGCTTTTTTCTCAGCAGGAATGATTCAAAAGAAAGAAAAATCACAATTTAAATATCAATAAACGTAACAATTCATCAACATTCGAGTTGAAACACTTACCAACGGAAGTTTCTTCGTTCCAGAAGGAATCATCTAAAGTGTAGTCTGCTTCTGTAACAAAAGGAAAAAAAAAATTTATTAGCTTATCGAATACACGTAGTACATAAATAGTACGTAAATATCGTGAAAATATTTGAGTTTGCAAAATAGAAATAAGGATGAGAATGAAATTGGTACATTCGTTTCACATTTCTAAATTCGAAAGGAGAATTCCTATGGGAAGCACTGCAACGAAACCAAGTTGTGTCCCAAAGGAATTTTGGACCGGGTTGGACCGGGAGAATTTTCCACGAGGGAGCAAACTTTTCCAAAAGTTTCGAGATTGCATGAGGGAGAAGGAACACAGTGGTGAACATTGCTACAAAAATTGTGAGGCTATCGAGACTTGTATTATCGAGAAACGCTCATTTTATGTCTCATTTACAATGTTTTATTACTTTTTTTTGCGCTTTCTCATATGCTAGATTATTTTTGAGCCAAATCGATTCATTGTCGATAATTAGATACCAAAAATTATAATTTGAATCTCTTGATTTGAATTAATTTTGCACAAACATTGATTCCATTTTTAAATTTTTCTTATTGTTTTTATTATTATTAATAATTGCTTCACAATTTAATCAAAAGAGTTTAAACTAAGAAAATTTCATGTACGAATCGGTAAAAATTATCAATATATAAATAAAATTTGCGATACTAGCTTTCAAAATTATATGACACTTTTATTAGACACTAAAAATAATGAGATGTCATACATAATCTATAGATAGAGATCTATAATTTAAAATGAGTTCCAAATCAATAATTCATAGTGGTCAATAATCTAAAATAAATAAAAATAATCATTCATCTAAAATTTAACATACATGACACAATATAACTTTGATATTTTTATTCTATTTCAATATTTTTATTTCAATACTCTCTGCGCGATTTAAAACTGTAAATTAATAAATTTTACATAGCAAAATTGTTGTTTTACTTTTCTAAAACGTATGACAAATTTTATTCGTCCTATAAAATAAAACTGCATATTCGAATCTACGAGATATTTGATCTTTTCTAGATGAACAAGAAGTCTCGATGCTGTAAAAACAAGTGAAAAGCATGCACGGTATAAAGGACAACGGTACCATTAGTTCAGGAGGTTGCAGCGAGTTCAACAGTTTGGTAAATCGGTCGTAAGCAAAAAACGGCGATGCCATTCCGAAATCGTTCCGTTTTATCGGAAAACTTCTTAATCTTTTTACCCAACCGAATGATATAAAACGAAACTTCGATACCTACGGCATTATCGAACGTTAATACCTATTTCCAATCGAGCCGTGTAAACATCCTATCGGCCATGGATTTGTTCGATCGTATATTCCAATATTTATACACTTCGTTGTGTATCTTTTTTACGAGCTATCAGATTTTTCACACCCGTGTTCTATCTTGCTTTTTGCCAAACACGGCAAGAATCGAGAAGGGAGAAATTTTTACTCTCGAATTCTATTTAGGAAAAAAGAATAATTCCATTGGAAGAATGGAATATCTTTTTGGTGAGGATATTAAAATCGATCGAAATCCGAAAACAATTCTAAATCTCGGTTTAAATCTCGACAAAATCTCGGAATGATGCTGAACGCAGCATCGCAAACCATTTCGTGAGCGCCATTTTCCAAGTTGGTTCCCACTCTTCTCATAAACCGTCACGTTCCGCTGCACCTAGCAATCAGTGACGGTCACGCCTCGTCGATTTTCTCTCTCTCTCTCTCTCTCTTTCCGTGTTACTATTCACCACCAGTCCGCGTTTAACACATTCGATGAGTCCGCCATGTCTGCGAAACGTTGCGCGGATCCTTGTCGGTAAACGAACCCGTGAACCGTTACGACGATAGATTCCTATCTGCTGATAATCTCGGCTATTTCTCGACTCGTTTCATCACGAAGACTCGATTTTTGTGCTCCTTAACCTTTTGCCAGGCCATCGTTGACGATCGAACTGAGCAAAGCCAGAGAGGACTATGGAGAAAGAAGCGAAGTTGAGGTTAAGAAGGAAGGAAATGGAGGTGGGTGGATCGAGAAAACGCAAGAGAACGCAAAAGGCGCGGAGAAATCGTGGCGAATACACGTGTCTGTATCCAGTGGAAAGATATACGAGTCAGGATAGGGAATGGAGAGGGGAGGTAGGGACGAAACTTTTCTCCGAAGTTTCATTAAAGCCCGCGAAACTTTTTCATCTCCGTACCCATCCCGAGGTTTCATAAAATTCATAAAATGGACGGCGTGCAGATAAAAAGACTCGGTTTCCAGTGGCCTAGTTCCTCGTAGTATACGAAAAATAACCCCGAGGCGAAGAGGGCCTCGAATAGATGATAGTCAATGACGGTATTTCTATAGGGACTTGCCCGTGGCGAGACTTTCAGGTAGGTATGCGGGTAGAGAAATTCTGCCGGGGGTAATCGACACGCTTGAAATTACTTCTGTTTCCTGTCTTCACCCTTCTTTAATAACTAATCGCTCAGTTATCGTACATTCCCCTCAGTGCGCGCATCTCTCTTTTCCTGACAAATATTCGCGGTTTGTGATTGTAATGACATGTCTCTGGACCGACCCGTATTCGATACTCGTAACTGTGTTCGTATATTGGTAGAAACGTGTTCTAACTCTTTGAAATATGTTGGAAAAATTTGAATGGGAAATTTCAATACTCTCGTATTGCTTGGGATTTTTCGAAGTGTGGTTTCGTATCGGTTCGGCAATAATCGGACGTGATCGGTTTAAGTGTCGACCCTAGCCGATTGTGTCCGATTATTGTCGAATAAATCCGAAGTTAGTCAGTCTATTATTTCATGTATTTAGCTTATGTTTATATTTTGGCTTTTGGAATGCAAGAAATTGCAAGTTTCAAGATATCCTTGTCGATTTTCATCGAAACAACATTTTAACTATTAAACGATGGAAACTGCGTTTGGTTATCCGGATAATTGTTACAAACGGAAGCATGATCAATCGAATTCGTATCGGAAATTTGCAAAGGTAATGATTTCTGTTAAAGCTGTATCCAATTGACTTTCTCGTCGAGTAAATTAAATCTTAATTCTGTCGAGTTCGTATACAATGGAAAGTCATAGACTAGTGAAATTGAATTCTTCGATGTCTTGCCACTGTCTAAAATATCGCCGACAACGAGTATAAACGTAAACGCTTATGAATATTTTTCATTTCACGTCTTAGAAAATCTCGCTTCGCTACTGATGTCCGACCATTATTTGACCTATTCCATTTACGATTTCGAACAGTAGTCGCGTTACAATTGTTCTATAATCAGTTTCATTGACCGAGCCGGGCTTTTCTTAATGACGTTGGCAAACTTCGTTGGCTGTTGGAGCGAAACATGCTTAGAACGTATTATGTTGTTGACTAACAGGACCGTGGCATAATGTTCGCACAGTGAAATTAAACGGTTCAGAAACTTCTGTAATCTGCCACGTAAACCTTCTTAGTAGTGGGGTTAATGGGAGAATGTTGAAAGATTTACGAAAGTTGAATTTCTCGTTCTGAAATTCATAGAAACTTTGCTTTTTCATAATGGTTCCTAGTTTTCTGCGGTTTTAATCGTTTCTTAATATTTTTCGTATGAGATCAAAATTAATTGCATTTTATTAAAAAAAAAAAAAAAAAAAGATAAAACTGTTCGTTATTTAAAATATATTTTACGAAAATAGTGCAGTGCATTTTAGTGGAAAAAAAATGATATCGGGTGGCTGACGAACGTTTCCTGAAAACACTGCGTGCCATCGGGCGATTAACTCGAGGAAAAATTGGCCTCACCGCGGGAAAAAAAAAGTGGGCGTCGCAGCCGATGAACTCTGCTCGTTCTTTTCGCCTCGGGCCTTTTAACGATTTCGCGCCCAGACTTTTTCTCTTTCTCTTCCTCTCTTTCTCTCTCGAATGCGAAGCTCGACGAAGCTGCATGACGAAGATTTCCCAACCTTTGGACTAAAATTCTCCAACGGACACGCGATAACAGCCAGTGTGTGTTACACGATAATCGCGAATGTTACGCCTATGGTGGAATTAAACGGTTTGCGGTTTCGTATAATCCATTATACAAGCCATTGATGATGCAGTGCGAAGCTGGTAACGGAATAACAAGGTAACGGAGATCCGGGATTTCACGTGGCAGACAGTCTGAGCTTGGAATTCGTGAAACAAGTGGCCCGAACAATAATGCTCGTATGCGTACGCATATTTGTTTCCGCTCCCTTTGAGACGAAATTGCTCGAAAAGAACGCGCTTCTCAGACGTTCGTCAATTTTCTTTTTCTATTTCTTTCGCTCTTTTTTCAACAAACTCGAGCACAGAGAAAGAGAGAAAACTAGGGCAAGATGTAGCTCTTTTCTTCTAAGAGTAAAGATAGAAAGAAGGAAGATGATTGGTCGAGAAAATTATTTATAGTTCTCGATCATAACGAGAGAAGGCGCAACGAATCGGTAAAGAAAATAACAAACATGGCGAATCATTGGAATTCAGTTGATTTCCTCGTTTGAATGTTACAAAGAACAAAATAATTTGCGTTCTTTTGTCTCGTTGAATGAATTAGAAAAGTGAATTCAGATATATAATTGAAATGTGAATACCGATTGTAGCTAGTCACTATGTATAACTGTGTTGTGAAAAATGAGAAGAAACGTTCGAACGTTTCCGACACGAGATACCCAACGGCTTATTTTTTTTCGCATCGGTCGATCAACGAATTCGTGCCTTCTATTTTAATTACCTCGAGTGAAATTTTCTATACAACAAACAAAGGAATCAAGACATCATTGCATAGGGTGAGTTTCTTTGATATCATAATTTCAAATAATTCGTATAAGAAAATATTTTAAACAAAAATCGCATTATGACGATATAGAAAATACAAAGGTGATTAATCGAAAAAGTAAACGCATCGAAATTTCGAATTAATCCCAAATATATTTATACAAAGAATATTTAGATTTATTAAATATAACGTGAAACAATATCCATATCACGAAAATTGTTTCTCGATGTTAAGACAA